TGGTCAAATAATAATAATAATAAAATAATAAAATTTATTTTTATCCCGCCCCATAATGCAACCATGGTGGCTTACAACATTAAAATATATATTTCATATCCCACAATCCCACCCACCCCTTAAAATACTATTAAACAATAACAATTTAAAACAATTTAAAACACACTTAAAATGCTAATGCAAGTAAACAAATAATAACTGCAGCAGAGTCGGGGATCATGTTGGGCTATCTTTTGATGGCTGGGGTATCTATTCAGGAAAGGCCTGCCGAAAGAGATGCGTCTTAACAGCCTTTTTAAAGCTGTTTAAGGTGGTAATATGATGGATCTCATCTGGCAGACCATTCTATTCCATAATCTGAGAGCAGTTGCCGAAAAGGTCCTCTGGGCGGTTGCAGACAGCCTAGTTTTTATAGGCTGCAGCAGATTCCTCACAGAGGACTTGAGTGTGCAGGGTGGGTTATATGGAAGGAGGTGGTCCTGGAGATAGGTTGGACCCAAGCCATTTAGGGCTTTAAAGGTGATAACCAACACCTTGTACTGGGCCTGGAAACTAATAGGCAGCCAGTGAAGTGATCTTAAAATCGGTGTAATATGGTCTCTTCTTGATGTTCCTGAGACCAGTTTGGCTGCCATATTCTGTACTAGTTGAAGTTTCTGGACCAAGTACGAGGGTAGCCCCATGTAAAGCGCATACAGTTTGAAGATATATATATGCAGTGCATAAAAGTATTAAAAGGCAGAAGGGTGCAGCACCTATAATTGCTTAATCTTTGAATAGACTAAAAGTGGTTGCCATTTTAGATAAAAATCCTTTTTAGTGAGTTAATCCTGCTGCCTTGGTCCATTTTTGCCAGCTAAAAAAAATCAGTTTTGAGTAGACCCTGAAGTTATTATTCTTAACCTGTCTGATGCAAATGTCTGCTAAGAAATATTAAAAATGATCTTGTGGTAAAGAAAAACTTTTTAAAAGCAATACTCTCTAATACTTTTACTTGAAAAGAAAGACTAATGAAAGTGCTGGGCATGCTATTTTAACATTTGGATGTATATTTTTTTGAAATAAAAATTAAACTTTACAAAGGCATGGTTACTGTTACAACTGTTCATTAGTAAATTGTTCTTTAGCAATGTATTTCTTCTCTAAGAAAACCCTATAACATTCATGGGGTCAACAACATAAGTTGGCAGGCAAGTTGAAGGTGCATTCACACACACACACACAGTATAGTTATAGTGACCTTGTTCAAACTTCACTTCAGCCCTGAACTTATAAAGTGGCCTTCAGCAGGCAATTGTGGTTTGTTTGTTTTTGGCTTGCCTATAATAATTATAGTAGCAGCATAGTTTACTAAAAAGAATATGTGTAAACTTTGGAGACAAGCTTGGCAAAAAGATTTCTGTCACATATTACACAGCAACAAAATTTGTTTAGTAATAAGTAACAGTGGCAACTAATTCTAACGCTTTGATACTTGTACAGTATCATGATCATGTTTTCAAGTCGCTTTCTCATAATCCCACTTTATTGTTTTTAGGTTTATCTTGAAATAATATTACATGTATACCTAAAAGGTAATGGATGAGTGTATATCTTTAATGGGCAATATTATTCATGAAGACCTATCAATAAATATTACCTTTTTCCTTGGAATTTTCATAATACCTTTTTAAAAGTGTTTGGCAGCAGCCACATTGATATGCCAGGAGAACATAGATGCAGTTGCATGTGGCTTTGGTTTTCTCTGGAAACTGGAACTTGCTACTGCGTTTTCCTTGTCCTGTTCAGGTAGTTCATAATTTTGTTGACAGTCCAGTTCCATTAATCTGATATTTTTAGGAAGATTGCTTGCAGACCTTAAATTTTTCTGCTTAAGGTGATCAAATAGGCATTTGAATCCCTCATGTAAATGATGTATTAAAGTTAAAATAAAATCTACTTTCCAGAAAGTAACTGCAAAACTATTTTATGCAAGACTTCATGTGGGATACCTTAATGGTTGAATAATAAATTTTACCTCATAAAAATGAAATTCAATAATACAGTAGCTTTCTCAATGCAGTAGCATCTGGTTAAATCTCAGGAGAGCCAATATTTTCCAACTCATTAGGATCATGTCGTTCTGTATGTCGTCAACATTGACTTAGCCAAGCTACCTTTACTTACATAACCGCCAAACTATTAAATAGGTCTCTTGTGGAGTGAAGTCAAATATTCCCCTTATTTTCCTTTTGCCTTGGAAGAAGAGAAGAAAATGTGCATGTTGTAACATTTAAACATCTGGTCAAAACCACATCAGGGTAATGCTGAGGAAAGTAACAGGATTCAGAATTCTTCCCAGGTGTGCATATAAAAAGGGGGTTGGAGTCACTGCATAGTTCTTTAACCACTTAGGAAAAAGATTGAAATATAGTGATTTGCTGTTCTAATGCCCCTGTTTGAAATCTGTTCTTTCCCTTATTCTCTTTTTTTTAAAAGCATTTCTGAGTTCAGTTGTAATGTAAGTTGTTGAGCTTTAATCATTTCCTTCCAATGTACTGGCTTGGAATGTGTGCTCCACATAATACAGCCAAAACTGCTGCTTATTTTGAGCAGTATAGGCTTGATTTTAAACAATGTGCAATCTGTGCTTTTGTGAGTAACTGCTTGATTGTGGCAGAGCATGGATACAAGAACCTTGCTGAGTGTAAACATTTTCTTTCGTAGTTTTACAGAGTTTTGATTCATATATAGGCTTCTATGCTCAATTCTGGTGCACTGTTTTATATCCATATTACCTCCATGGTTCTAGCATGCCATTCCAGAGAAACCGTCATTGTTAACTTTCATAAAGCAGCTTTTGGCAGTTCTCTTGCATTCAGAAGCAGATGGTTTATAGCTGGCTAAGGTTGTAAGCAATGTACAGAACAATCATTAGGGTTGCCTTGGAGAGATTCAGTAGATTCAGTCATCTGGGATTCTCAGTCTCTGAAAAACAATTCTGAGTAATTTTCAAGATTGGTATTTCCTGTAGTTAGTTACATTTCCTGTAGAGAGTTACAACGCTGCACAAGTTAGTTTCAGAAAGAAATGTTGTCCTTTATGAAAAGGAAGAGTCGTAAGGCTACTCAAATCTGATTTTGAATGCAATTAAGTTAATGGAACCTACTTGCTTAATTAATGTTCTTTAAAAGAAAACCCACACTTTAAAAACATTAACATTTGTCATCAATTCTTGTGCAAAATAAAGGCGTGTTTAATACTTAAAAGGATATAAATAAATAAAGTTTTTGGGAGCACAACTTTTTCATTGAACCGTTCAGTCAGTGTTCTCTTTTTAGTCTGTTTGCCTTTTTTCTAGTAAGGCAACTGTAAATATCCCATTCTTGTATGTCTTGGTGTCTAATTCGATTCCCAGGATATTAATATCAGAGAACAGTCAGGTGCAAATATTCTAATTTTCTAACATAAGACAGTACACCAGAGTTGAAAATCCCACAGTGGATTTAAGTTGGCTGCAACAAGAAAATGGCAGCCAAGCACAACCTTCTTACAAATCTGTGCAAGAAATACATACTGTAGTCTTGAGCCAAGATAGATGCTGACAGCTGAGATAGCTTCAAAGCATTGCTGTTCTGAGTTTTGGCAGTAGAAAGAGCTTCAAAGAAATACTGACTCAGCTGTTTTGCTTCCTCCCCCTTCACTTAATCCTGGGCTTTCATTACCTGTCACCTTTTTCCATACTAAGTTGAGGAGTTATTTTGTGCTAGTGGTTAAATTGGTGAACCTAAATACTGAGCAGGTTGAATTGTAAGGGGGCAGGGGCAAAAATCACCATCCCTTTTTACAGCCATTTGCTAGCTTCAATTGCTGAAAAGTCAAGATTGCACTGGCACAAAGGAGTCCGTATGCCTTTTGTGGGTAATAAATGGCCACAACTGAGCACTTTATTAAGCAGACTGAATTGAAATTCTGCTCCTTCCAGTTGTGGAGAAAAGAATGCTAGATGATTCCACTGACTTATATAACAGCCTTCCCTCCTGCTCTCTAATGCTTGAGTAACAGTTCTCTGCTGGACATGCTGCAGTGTCCCAAGATATTAAACCTCCTCTGCCTAACCTTAAAGCATTAGCTGTTCTTTTCCAAGTCATTTCCCCAGTTCCTACTGTTGGTCTGTGTGCAGGAACCTCTGTGGTAAGTGGATCATTGACTACTTCAAGGTTAAGAACTGGAAGTTAATGCTCCGGCCACAATGCACAGCAGCTGTGTATCTAATATCAAAATCAGGAGGCATATAAGAGGAGTAAGAGTGTTCTGCCTTATTATCCTCATAGACAATGAGCAGGATAAGACCATTTTCTGTGAGCAGTGTCACAGCCTTAATTGGAAGACTAATTTATTTATTTTCAGTCTTAGTGTATTGTTTTTTCATTGCCAAAGACAATTCTAGGATAGCATAAATAAAAGACAGTATAACACTATACAAAATAGAAATAAAATAATCTAGAAATAAATAAAAATATTATTAATAAAAATAAACAAAATTTTAAAAATCTAGAGCAATTTAGTTGGCAAGTTTAATTTAAAATTTCAGATCATCTCAAAAAACCTGGGCAAATAGAGTCATTTTAATTTGGGGCAGAAAATAATGCCGAGTCAGAATGCTTCAGCAGAGAATAATTTCCCTTAGATGCAGCCTAACCTTTCAGTGTGTCACCACCAGTATTTGTCACCCCCAGTATTTAGAAATTTACACCGGATTGTGGACATTAATCTCAGTCTATATTTGTATATTGCATGTTTTGCAATTTGATTAAATAAAACCCTCAGCTAACTGAAAGGTTGTTGTTGTTGCTGTTGTTGTTGTTGTTGTGTGCCTTCAAGTAGTTTCTGACTTATGGCAGCCCTAAGGCAAATCTGTCATGGGGTTCTTGGCAAGATTTGTTCTGAAGAGGTTTGCCATTTGCCTTCCCCAAGGACCAAGAGCATACGACTTGCCCAGGGTCACCCAGTGGGTTTCATGGCCCAGCAGGGAATCGAACTCTGGTTTCCAGAGTTGTAGTCATGGAATCATAGAATTAAAGACCACAAGGGCCATTCGGTCTAACCCCCTGCCATGCAGGAACACATGACCAAAGCACCCACAACAGATGGCCATCCATCTGTCCAACACTCAAACCACTATGCTACACATGTTCTGCAGTTTGATTTTTAAAAAGGTCAGCTAGCTGAAAGATTAATCACATTGAATTAGTTGATCACTAAGATTTTTCTAGTCAGGCACTATAAATATGTGGTTCTACTGGGAAAGAAGGCAGATTAAAATTTGAGATTGCTAAAATGAGTACATTAGCAATTTATGTTAGAAGAAGAAATGTGATAGATCCCATCAGTTTCTTTGGTGTTGAAATGGATGGCATGTATTGCCTTCTGGGCTATTCTGGAATATACATTTTACTTCTGTTATCTTTTATACAAAACCTTTCCTAGCCATACATACTTTAAATAGCACTTGACACAAAGGTAGTTCATGTGCCAGGAGATTACTTTATTTTCCTGCGTATAAGACTACTTTTTAACCTGCAAAATCTGTGGTTAAAGTGTGTGTGGGGGGGTTGTCTTATACGCCGGGTATAATGATAAGGAGGATAGGGGTGCTAAAACTATATTTTGACTGGAAAAAATGGGGGGTCATCTTATACGCCGGGTCGTCTTATACGCTGGAAAATATGGTAGTTATTTTTACAGTTTGTAAATATATCTGTACCTGGAAGTGGTCTTTGCTGAATACAAGCAAATGGCTTCTTACAGGATTTTCTCAGTTGCCTCTCTAACCATGTTCACACCTTGTTTGTTTGTTTGTTTGTTTGTTTGGAGTATTTATACCCCGCTCTTCAGCTACAAAGGCTTTCAGATGGGCTTACAAATTGTTAATTTGACTTACAAATTGTTAATTTCCCTGCCTTCATGCTTGCAGTCTAAATAAAAGCTGAAGTTAGGGGTTATATATATTGTTTAAAAAAATATTCAAATAAACCAAATAATATAATCAAATAAATAAAACAATCCATAAAGTATACAGTAAATAGAACCAAAGTCCTGTGGGGAGACTTCCAGTCTCTTGAAATGCATCTGTCTTTTTGAAGGCCAAAAATGAATTCAGTCTCAAATAGTATAAGGGTCCTTCAGAAGACAAATGACCATAGTGAAAAATGTGATATGGTTTCAGTCCACCAATATTTTTTCAACCAAATAAAGATTTTCAGCCACAGGACTTTGATTCTTTTTGCTGTAAACGTTAAAAATTGTTTATTTATTTGGTTATATTATTTGGTTTATTTGAGAGGTTTTTTAAACTACATATATCCATATATAAATAATTTTAATATTATTTTTTATAGAGTGAGTAACATTTTATAACCCCGAACTTGAGCTCTTTTTTCCTTCGTTATTGGTTAGGTTTTCATTCTACCTCTGTTGATTTTTACAGTCTAAAGACAGGACATACAAGGAAAAGGGGAAGATTAGGTCCAGCAGATACTGCCAGTCCTTCTCTTCCTCCGAGGCCAGGGCACTGGCAGTTGAGATGGAGAGAAGGCCTTTCATCTGCTTCTGGCCCTAGGCATGATGGAATTATGTTTTCATCTTCTTTCCCTGCAAGGCCAGGGCAGTAGCAATTATATGAATGACTTACATTCATACATTACTAATGTTTCATGTACACTTGCTCTGCCATATCAACAGGTCATCCATGGATTGGAGCATCTGTGGATAGCTTTGCTCCATTATCAATGCGGTCTTGCATGCATCACATCACTTGTCTTTAGACAATAATAGGACTTGAGGCCCCACACTTTTTGGTATCTGTGGAGTGTGTGTATCCGGAAAGGGACACCCGCTGATACAGGGGGCTGACTGTACATGCTACTATTCTGTTCTTTAAATGTTTATGCATTCCTGATTCTTTTCTGAATGCTTGCTTTGTAGGGCAGCCTTTTAATGATGGTAAATTCTTTTCTGTGCCAGCCTAAGTAACATTTGGCAGAGGGGCAGGATGATGATGATGATGATGATGATGATACAAATAGCTGTTTCAATCCTTTCTCCAGGAATTCTGAAATGGTATTGGGGGCCGATGGTTACTAGTGGGTGGGACCACGCATGTGGTCTTATTCTGCATACAAAATATGATTGTTCCTGACTCCACCCTTATATCCACCGCTTGGCCCCTTTAGTGTTTGGCAACAAAAAGCTGTTAATGGTGACACAAGTAAAGCTGGTTCTTAGAGTTAGACCACAGCTTTTAAATAGCAGGATCTGTTACACATCAGAATAGCCAAGCTCTTACTATCAAAACACATGTTTATTCTTGAAACCATGTTGCTAAGGGTTCTTTAATGCTATTTTGTACACTTCAACACCTGTTTCACAGAAAAGGAGTTGTTTTTCTAAGATTTATGTACACAACAGACCTGTCTTGAAGATTGTTTCCATCTTTATTAGGAACTTTTTGATATTTAAGTTGTGTGACTGTTTCCCAACAAAAGTAATGTGACATCAGCATGAAGGTGCAATAAGAGCTCTCTCAGGATTATTTAAGACAGAATGGAAGACTTTGGGTATGTAAGGTTGTGTGGCCTTGAGTATAGTTTATATTTGATATATGAGCTGTCACATAGCTGTTGCATGACTGAGATGTGCCTGTAAGCAATGTAATATGCAGATGGGTTTTCTCTGAAACAAAGCCAGATACTAAATCTGAATGTGTTCATTTGGAGGGTAAAAGAGTACTTCATAAAACATATGGAAACATTTCTATTTTCTTTTTTTTATTAAATCGCCCTTTTACTCTTTAAGAGGTTTTTATGATGCTGAAGCTGGTTACCTGAATTTCACTGTATTGGAATCTGCATGAACGGGAAATAGAGCTATGTGGTGAGGGGTTTGCTTGTTTAAGTTATCAGTTTTTTAAAATGAATAACTCACTTTTCTGGAATAAAATGTTAGCCTTGGAAGATAATACATAGTGAAATAATCTTGTTAAAACACTTGAATTAGATGAAATGTTGAGATTTAGTATTTTGTTCTACAGGTTTACTGTAGGATGTGCATACAGTGGAACTGTAATAGTAATAACATAGTGGAGAAAGTGGAGAAAAGATAGAGGAGATAGTTCTTTATACTGTAAGAGCTTCTTCTTAATTGGCTTTCAGCTAAGCTCCCTCTTTGGGGAAGCACAGTAGAAATATGTGAACTATGATTTAAAGTTTTTACAAAGTATGGTCCTCTCATAGTATTTCTTTTCATTATGTCTGATGCCTGTTCCTGTATTTTAGTATAGGAGGCAACCTCATGTGCTCCAGGTGTTTTGAACAATGACTCCAATAAACTATAACCAGAATGGTCAAGGAATATAGGAGTTGTATACCAAAATATCTGGAAGGTACTAGTTTTCCACCTCAGCTCTAGAACTATATCATTGACAGATGTGTCAAGATAGTTAATCCTTATATTCACAAAGCAAAATTATCCCATGGGTTTCTAGAGAAAGTCCTAGGAAATTCTTGTCATGTTTTGTTTCAGATGTTATCTGAAACAAAGTTTTGTTTGTTTTTTGTGGGATTTTTGGGCTGTGTGGCCATGTTCTAGAAGAATTTCTTTCTGACGTTTCGCCAGCATCTGTGGCTGGCATCTTCAGAGAAAGTTTTGTTAACTTATACATTACCTTTTATCCCTGTGCTATGTTCCACTGTGGATCCCAAAACTGGATCTGTGGGAAACATGGTTTTTTGACAAGTAGTATGATGGTGTGCATTGCTTGAGTGCTGCTGTTTATGTGAGACCAGTAAAAAAAGTCTGCCCACTGTCAGATGACACTATAAACAAGGTGTGAGTAATTGCTACAGATTGAAGGCTGTATTTCCCCCCTGCAGGACTACATAGAGCTGGCCCTCTGTCACCCCAAAACTAATAGTGCCCCTAAAAAGCATCTCAGGGACACTATTAGCCATTTTGGTGTCTTGGAGAGGAGCTTTTACATGCCCATGGTGTGACCAGGCTGTTCATACAGAAGAAAGTTGCAACCGTTTGGAAAGCACAAAAGTGGCTTTGAGGAGCCACATGCAGCCTCCAGGTTCCACTCTGTCCACCCTTGCAATAAATCAATAAAATACAATAGCAAACCTCTCTGCTTTGTTTAGTTATTCCTACAAAGAGCAAGAATGACCAAGCTGTTTGCACCAGCTGCTTGATGTGTTATGTTTCATGTCATGTGAACATATTCATAGGTATATTTTTCACAGCACAATTTATGTCTTCTCTCACTACGTGTTCTTCATACACAGTATAATCTGTCATATATTTTTTCTGATCTAGATCTTTCATTTTATTACTGGAAGTTTCCTGATGTATGTAAATGCAACAGGCTTACTTATCTGTAACATCTTAGACTTATTACCTATTGTATTTTTATGCCATGGTTCTGAAACATAGATTTTGCTTAGTTTAATCAGTTTTGCAGCCTATCTTCTATAACTGCAGTTACTTTCTATATATAATGTTTGAGTGTTGAAGCATTCAAATCATGAGGATTGAGATCTTGGTTCCTGTACTATATTTATTACATTCATTTGAATTAAAGAGAGTTCACCAGGTCTAGTATCTCATTGTCCTCTGAACTATGCATTGTGTTTATAACTTGCTTTTCCTAACATGGCTTGTTCTCCAGGCACTTTTCAGATCTATCTATGTTGTCTATTTTGCACCTGGGAATAAGCAAATACTGTTGAAGATATTTTTTTGTGTGTTGTTGCTCTTGGTAAAACAAAACAAAACAAAACAGTTTTTAACTGCTGAGGTGGGCTATGGTTAGAGTTGTGATTCCATACACTTAATATAGTATTTCACAGTACACAAATTGTACACAAGAGCTCTTTGTAAATACTTGGTATGTGGCACGGATTTGTAATTAATGTAAATAAAGTATATTTATATAAGTAAGGTAATTCCCTGAACTCTTAATCAGCCTACAACAACCACTGATGATCCTCTGTGGTTAAGCCTCTCATAATGCTGCTTTTGAGGCTCTGAGGGTCC